ATTGCAGGAGCTGCCTGAGTCCAACAGCGCCTTTATCTTTAGAGGGTGTCCGTTTGGCAGCTCTAGCGTCACTTCTATCACTAGGGCGGGTTTAGGAGGTTCTGGCGTGGGCACTCTCACTGCTCTTTGGCCTGGCTGCTGTGCCCTGACAGTGGCAGCCAGGCGTTGGCTTTACTTGCTCCGGTATATTTTCCTCTCTTCCATCCACAGCCCCTACCATCCCTTGCCATTCTTTCCTCTGGGGGCAGACTCTGGCAAAGTGACCTGGCTGTTGGCAGAGATAGCATTTCCGGGCGCCTTTTCCCTCCTTCTTTGCCCCCTCACTGGGCTTTGAAACTGCGCGCGCGCGCTGTTCCGATTTCCATCGGCTCTGCCGGTGGGAAAGTTGGCTCTGGAATGTCTGGAATGCGGAACTCCTTCCAACGTTCCCCTTTCCCTTCCCGCCTCTCCAATGCTCTCGCCTCCTGGCGCGCTCCTATGGCCAGCGCTGATTTGGTCAGCTGGTCCATAGACTCCGCCCTGGGCGCCCGGGAAAGTTCGTCTTTCACAGCCGAAGAAAGCCCTTCTTCAAAGAGCATTTGAATGGGTTCCGCCGATAAGTCCCACCCCAATCTGTGAACAAGCATGGTGAACTCAGTCCAGTACTCACGGACAGATCGGCTCCCCTGTTTGCAACCCATTAACTGTCTGCGCACCACTCCCTTTTCAATATCGCTGGAAAACATCAGATCCATGGCGCGAAAGAACTTCATCGTGTCTTTTAAGACGTCACTATTCGCTGCCATCAGGGGTCTAACCCAGTCTCTCGCCCCTTTTCAAGATGCTCAATCACGAAAGCCACTCGTGATTCCTCGTCAGGGAATTCATCAAACTGCAGATTGAGGGCATATTGCATTTCTGTCCGAAAACCATGATAGTTTTGGGCTCCCCCAAACTTCTGCACCAATCCTGGTACCTTTCTGGCGAACTGGGTGGCTTTCCCCTTTGTCTGCATCCTGAGCCCTCCTCTCCTCAAGCCTCGCCGTCTGCATCGCTAGCTGGACCTCCAACATCTGGTACCTTTCTTCCAGGCTTGGACCCGCTCCAGCTCCTGCTTCTCCGGTTCCGGCTGGGTTGCTCATGATACCTTCTCCTGCACAAGCTGCTTTCAAAGACTGTCGGAATGCTGTGATGGGATGATGAGCTGCTTGTGCGTAAAATCGTATCCCCTCAGAGTTTGTTCAAGTCCACAAACCTCTGTCTGTGACAGAGCCCCTCAGACATGGCTACTCTAGTCACTAGCAGATTCCGACAGTGGTTGCTTTCGTAATCGCTTCCAACATAAAAGCTCCTTAACGGAAACACGTCTTCTGGAATCTCTGCGTGACAGTTTCCGGCGAGGAGTGGGTGTTCTTACAGGAGGTCCTGAAACCTCTCCACTGTTTTCGCTGGAAGTGTCTCTGAGCCATCCCTCCAGCTCAGCTCCTCTCCCCCTGCTGGTTCCCTCATCAGCTGCTGCGTCTCTCCCAACCTGTGTGAGCCCTTTCACCTCCCTGTTGGTTTCCTCTTCAGCTGCTGCGTCTCTCCCAACCTGTGTGAGCCCTTTCACCTCCCTTCCGTCCGATGGCAGTTCCCTGACAGTTATGTTTGAGTAAAATTCCACTGACCAGCCCTTGTCTGTATACTGTGTCTTGCTTGTTGTCTGTACCGACATATCTGCAGGTCCTCCTAGAAAAAGAAACTTCAGCCTTCACTACATCCCACCACAAATGTGAAGATTATTCTCTTTATATCACTTTCAGTGTATCAAGGTGGAGTGAGAAGGAAACATGGAGACTCATTCCAGTGATGCAAATTCCTTTGTCTGGAACTCTCTCCACAGCCCACCCACAAAACGGCCTTACCTTTGCCGAATGTAAAAATATAGGAATTGTTTTAATACACTAGTTTAAACTTCCTTTGGTATGGAAGTTATGGAGAAGGGAAGGCTGAATCTTTTCATAGGGCCAGATTGAACCACTAGTATTTGCCAAGTGATATTAGGACTGGTTTCAGCACTGTCTACACATAATAAGAAACCTCTTTCAGTTATCGCTAATCTGTCACAACTATTCCACACAACATTGATATTGTCACATTGTAGTTGGCATTACCATTAAGATCACAGTCTATTCATTCACATGGCTATTATACTTTCTCAAGAGATATGTCAATATGCATGTGGATTCACTCATCCCTTTATGCAACCTTTTGCTTTTAAGATTTTAGATCTATTTGGAATAAGATTGACACCTTCATCCTTATTTGAACTCAGGTATGCACTACAGAAAAGTTTTAAAATGTTCTGCCAACATTACTTTTTTGAATTTCTGGCAAGCAGAGATGTTGAGATATCAGGAGCAAAAGGTAGTCTGTGAGATATTCCCAGAACAAGGGAATGAAGAATATATCAGAAATAATAGAATCATTTTCGATTCTGCATTGGGTAGATGTTTTCACTGTACTGCCAAGAAATAGCAAAGTAACTCCAGCTAGGGGAAGAAGAAGAAACACACATAGAAGAAAAATAAAGCACTTACAATGCAGACTTATCCCAGTGGTACCCATCATCTTGTGCTCATGCTTGTGACTGAATAACTTAATGGGGACTAACTTAATGGGGACTTTGAGAAGTTTCCTATTAAAAGGTGGGTGCCTGTCCTTCAGGAGATTCACATTAAGAAACAAGCTATGTGGTTACCACAGTCTGTCCTGGATATTTGTTAGCCCTTGTAAGCCCTTGTACCAGCTACACCACAGAGGCAGATCTTCTAGACTACAAAGATCCAGAAGTACTGATATGGCACAGCTAGCTGTTCTGTTAAGAAAGAAACCAAGACCAAGTTATTTATTTAGTCATAGTATTTATATCTCACCCTCCACTCAAAGGTTACAGGCTGAGTCACAACACAATGTGATATGCAATAAACTATGCCAAACAAATCACCTAGTAAAAAGCTCTTGAGATTATAGATAGCTTCGGGTATTCTTCCATAGGATAGGATCAGATGTATGGTACATTAATAGAGAAACAATGACATAAAATTTATTCATTTTGAAATTATGACAACTTGCTTGCAGTCCACAAACCAGTTAGTCCCAAAGCACTTGGGTTACTTTAAACAGAAAATCCAATCTACTTGAATGAGATTATATAAATAATCATCACGCCAAATATTTCATGCTAAGTGATTTGTAGGCTAGGCTCTTTTTGATACTTCTGTCAATCTAAGTAGCCTAGAATAGAGGAATAGAGCTTATTCATGCATGACAGCCATGGAAAAACTGTATCATTAAAAAATCAGAGTTACATATATGAATGTTGTTCTGTAATACGTACAAAAACTATTTGGTTTTTGAATAGTTAACTGCATAAATCAGGAGTTTCTTTCTAACTCAGGTCTACATATTACCATATATTGGGGTTCTTCCATTTACATTCTGCCAATGAACAGCAAGGCTGGTACGGCTCCTAAAGAGGTGACCATGTGCTTTCTGAAATGTTCAGCTATATCAGTTGACATCAGTTTGTATATGGTTTAATGGAACCACACAGACTGAACTGTGATAGTTTCTTTAGGGGACACATCATTTGAACTCATTGATCCTTCGTGAAAGACTAATGGAACGCCAGATTGTCAGAGAACCCCTTTTGCTGGAGTTAGGGTTCCATCTTAGTCTCAAGTCTCAATCCACAATCCAGCTCAGAGTCATCAGTACCTGTGGAGCTAACACCTCCCCACTCCCAGATCCTCCAGGACTGATTCATTCTCCGGCAGGAGAGCACCCCTCACAGACAGCCACTATCACCTCTGTGTTGTAAGAGCAAACAGCTTTAAACAAAAGATACTTCATGTTGACTCCACCCCTTCTCAGGAGCTATCAGGCTGCCCAGGCTTCAGAAGACTCCAGAAGAGTCTTAGTTGTTTTCTCAGCAACTAACACTTGCCAAATGTTTCCTAAAGGAGCTTGCTTTGAACTTCCTTATACTGGAGTTAATGACTCGCCTAACTTTATCCTGGACTCATCACTCAAAATGTGAGTGGTCAGGACTCTACCTCATACCCTCCAACATTTCTCCAATGAAAATAGGGACTTTATTTATTGCAACATATTGCTGTAACGGTCACAAAAGCAGAGATCTTTTAAAAAGAGTTGTAGTGAATTCCTGGGAAGTATATTTATGAGTGACTATTCGACATTATGAAGCTTAAAAAGGAACAATAAATTCCATGTTTAGAGGTAGACTACCAAACTATCAAGCATTTTGAAACACACCGCAAGAGACAGCTATCTCTGTCTTGCTCTGATTCCTCAAATTCATCTGGCTGAACAGCTGGTAAGAATATATTGTTGGATTTGATGTACTTTTGGTCAGATTGAGCAACACAATTATTGTGTTTTCTGGAGAAAGAGTTTGTGACGTGACATTGAAAGGTAAGGATAATAGGAGAGCAGGATAAATTGGCCAATAACATAAAATCCACATTGCTGAAATGACTGAACAGCACCTGGCATATGCAAGTAGTACCAAAATTTATACTAGAACTGGTTCAGTGGTTTGTCAAGTCTGAAGTTTAATTTAGGGCAAACCAACATCAGAAATGGATATGGGCAATTGAAAAATAATAATTCTTTATTGTCTAGTTGTGGCTTTGCTAGTACAAATGCCTCTTTGTTAAACATGACCTTCCTAATGCTATTCTGTAGCAGTAGAAATTAATAGACAATGGTTTAGTCTTGCTGTCTCATCAGTCCATGATGTATTCTGAAAGGTGAGCTGTTGAGCTGTCTTGCCTTTATCCATGAACCTAGACAGCAGCCAGATTCCTCAATTCAGTCTCAGCCAAATAAAGGTTTTCAAGACAAATTGGCTTCCCCTCCTATATGTGTCAGAGGAAAGGGTATATCTGAAGATGAAGCTGTGAAGGTCTCTGCAAGGGTGACCAAGACAGATTGTAATGAAGCATTAATAGTGGAGGAATAGGACATTTCCTGAGGATTAATGACTGTCCGGGAGGAGTTGATAGCTGGAAGAGCAACTAAGGGTCATTAACCCCAGATGGTCATTAATCCCTAGAAAATGCCCAACAGGTAGCCTACTCATATAGAACGTTAAAATAAAAAATAATAGGTGCAAATATATTTCTTCATGGGTTTGACACTTTTGAATGGTGAATATTCGGAATATCTAGTAACTTAATAATATCCTTTCATTTGAGACTGGTGAGATGATGAAATAATCATTTCCCAGAAATTGCAGTCTTTTTTTTTTTACAGAATATAGAGCACTATGTCATTTGAGGCAAAATAATTCCTTAAACACAAAGACAACAGCTTGCTTTGCTGTATTCAAAGGAAAACAAAAAATATTTGTTAAAATAAATTGCTTCCTTTGACAGTTTTGTTATTTCTTTGTTTCCAACTGCTGCACTTGTCTACTTTGGTGGGGTTAATTTTTCTCAACTATATTTTAATACTGAGTACTGTAGTTCATCTTCCAGTCCTGACAACATGATGGGGACTCCTCACAGAAACTGATTTTAGCCATAAACTCTCATCCTCTGTGATCTTCACTTTCATTTTCTTCAAGCAATTCTACACCTTATGGCTATGAAAACGCATTTGAAAACATGTTGGCAGTGACACCAAGCAGCTGGAGCTGAGAGGTCAGGAATTATTTTCTGAGTCACTCATAGTTCCCTGAACCTAACATGACCTCAAGTTAAGGATGGATGAATTGGTCTGTTTCTAGTTGGTGTCAATTGTACTTCACACATAAATCATGATTTCCACATTACTCTGGGGGTGGTATTTTTAACACTGAAATATTCATTTAAATAGTACTTTAACATGTATTATCTCTCAAAATGTGCACTTTAAAACAGATTTGGCACATGCTGAGAACAATGTTGGAATGTTCAGGAAGTGAAAAAATGGATGGATAACTAAGTTTCCGACGAATATGATCTCTGATCAGGGAGGTGCATGTCAGGTCAGAAATTTGCAAAGACCAAATGACCTCCATTCATGTTCCTATACTTATATGCCTCTCCCACCTTCACTGAATCATATTATTTCTCTGCCTGTAACTAAAACCCCATCTGTACCATACATTTAAAGTAGTATCATACCACTTTAGACAGCCATGGTTTCCCTCAAAGAATATTGAGAACTATAGTTTGTTAGCGGTATTGAGAATTGTTAGGAGACTCTTATTTCCATCAAAGAGCTACAATTTCCAGAGTCCTCTGGGCTGAACAATCAACAGTCACACTTTTGAGCCACAAACAATTATTCATGACATAAGGTGGGTGTTATAAATGGCCATAGTTCAGTGGTGGAGCATCTGCTTTGCATGCAGAAGGTCTGAAATTCAATCCAAGGCATCTGCAGAAAGGGCTGGGGGGAACTTTGACTGAAATCTTGGAGGGTTGCTGCTAGTCAGTGTAGACAATACTGAGCTAGATAGACCAATGGTCTGCCATAAGGCAACCTCCTAAGTTTAGGTTTAGTGCATATGCACCCTTACTAGACTAAACCTGAACAGTGAAGATGGTTTCCATTTGTCAATACTGTTAATAGATTTATAGGTGCTAGAATTTAATTATGGTTTGGGATGTCAAACCTAATTTCCTTGGAGATGATAGCTAGATTCATATGTGTATTAGGTCAGACCCGGTATACATTTAAGCCTTGTGCTAGACCTTGTTAATCCTTTAATTGAGCAAAGTATAAAGCTCATATACTTTCCAGACTCCCTGGAAAAGGCCCTGATGTTGGGAAAGATGGAGGGCACAAGGAGAAGGGGACAACAGAGGACGAGATGGTTGGACAGTGTTCTCAAAGCTACCAGCATGAGTTTAACCAAACTGCGGGAGGCAGTGGAAGACAGGAGTGCCTGGCATGCTCTGGTCCATGGGGTCACGAAGAGTCGGACACGACTAAACGACTAAACAACAACAACATAAAAGCTCATTATATCAAGTAATTTCCTTTTGTGGTTTTAGACTGGGGATGAGCTATTTAGGCAGCACAAATGGTGAAAGGGCAAATCTCATTTGCAAACCCTCAACCAAGGTTTTAGTTTTAGGGGAAGTTAGAGTTAAGAATGGCAGTTAGGAGTTAAGCAACAGAGTTGCTAAGCAATGGGCTGGAGAGAGAACAGTGTGATGAAAGCTGAGGAGGAAGTAGCGGGTGCCCGTCTTCCTCTAGTCCATGGATGGCCAGCTCCCATCAGCCCATCCAGCATAACCAATGGTCAGGGATGCTGAGAGTTGTTGTCCAGCAACATCTAGAGGGTACTATGTTGGCTACCCCTGCACTAGTTGAAGTAAAACTATTTTGTCTTTGTTAAGGTTAATGGCTTGAGGATGAGATGGCAATGGACCAGTGTTTGTCAATGAACTGGAAGAATAGATGCCTGGTTTCTTACAGTGCTCATCATTCACAACAGATCAGAGGTGGAAACAATATTCTGGGAACAAATTGAAAAGGGTGCAAATTGTAATTTATTTTTTGGGGAGAGGGGATACTTGCAGGTATTATATTAGTCACAAAGATATTAGGCAACCTGGTGCAGGAAAAGAAGCATTTAATTGAAGCAGCTGCAAAACTAATCAAAATAAAAATTCAATTGTTTCCTTGCTCCATGAATTTCCACCCCCTTTCTTTAGAAATTGTCCCTTAGAGAAGTCATTTCCAGCTGTTTTGTAGATGTTTGTGGAAGTCATTCTCACACAAGGGTCATGTTACAAGGTGCAAGTTCCGGCAGGAAACATCAATACCTCAATTTCTCCACCAGTGCTTTCAACCAATAGGTGACCATACCACTTTCCACAGGATCAGCATTGATGAGCACTGCAGAAACATCAAAGCAAGATTCATTTTTCTTAAAAGAGGCAGGAATACAACACTTATCTTCCAGCACCAGATATTTCTGCAATAGCATGAGAGTAACTTCATTTCTTCCAATCTCCAAGTGCCCCCAGCACAAATACAATCACATTGAACAGATTGCTTGATGAGCCAATTCAGAATAGCCTGAGCAATCTCTGTAAATTAAGACAACCTTGTCCAGGATTATCAGGGGAACACAAGTAATACATCATTGTCAACATCCTGGAGGATCCACCAATTCCTTCCTGCTAACGACTGATGGGAACATGACATCTATCGAGTTTGGATGTTCCGAAGTGGAAAGGCTGGATGTCAGTGTGCCAGTGGTAACCTTTGATCAAGACCTGTGAGTAAGGCTATATAACCTGTCTGCACAAGCCTAGAGAATTTCCCAACATTGTAACTTGCTTTGGCAGGTTTCATACATTCATGTACCGGCAATTTCATGAGCAGATGTGACACTGAGGAAACTTTGCGGAGGGTATACGTATGTCCTGGAAGTGCAGTTTCTCATTTATTAAGTTCACATGTTCTTTGATGACATCTCTTGGTTCTATCACCTCTAACAGCATCTCAGAGCAGATATTCTGAATTGCAACTTTTCAGTGAAGGTTTGTGAACCCCCTGTAAAAAATGAAGCTGAAATGATGAATTATCCGTGTGTATCTCTACAAGCTGACACTAAACATAAATTTCAGAAACCTGATCAAATGGTGGCATTTTATTCCAAGATGAAACTATCTTACTGAACTATTATTACTATTAGGATAAAAGGTGGGTGGGGAATTTTTGGAAAGACACACAAGCAGAACTGACAGACTTTTGACTAGTTATTACTACTTGGTAGATATTGTCAATGTATTGCAAAAAATTCACCAGGCAAAGTACACTAGAAACTTTCAGATGCATAAATAAAAATGCCTAGAAATGTAGGGGATAAAATAGGAAGACATATGATTTATAAATTTAATATTGCTTTGAAGCATTATGTGTCAAAAGTTTGAAATTACAGGGAAATATCATACAAGTTCTCATTAATGCTGCACATTCGATAGTTTGACACTTTTCCCTTTTTCTGTATAATTATATATTTTTGCATTCTATACTTCATTTTGTCCAAAAGTGGGGAGGGGACCACAAATCACTTATCTTCTAGCTGTATCTACTGTACTAATTTGGATGAATAATATGTGTAGCTGAAATTTGTATAATGCTGCACCTACAAAAGTCAATCCAAAAAGAGAACTTATTTATGTTCAGTATAAAAAATTCTAAGAAAAAATACCAGAGAAAGAAATCTCTTGGCTACCAAATCCCACACATTTAAAATTTTTACTACGTTGGACATTGACCATAGTCATCTTCTGTCCACTCTTTGCTCTCATAGTTGAATTCAGGGGAGTGCAATCAGTTCAGTTACACTGGGCATGCAGCCTCAAGAGCACTGCAGGATGTGCCACAACTATGAGGTAGAACGGAAGGCAAGAAGGGGTGCCAAATTTTGACATCACACAGGGTACCACTGAAATTTGATAGCCCAAGGCCCGCAACTGTTGTCCCATTAGCAGAATGAAGACTCAACAAGACAGGAATCTCATGTAAGAATCTGTGGACAGGTATGACCTGCAGATGCATGTAGGAAATCTCCTGTCTGTTGCTAAGGGCCAAATGATCCCAGATCAACTCCATCGCCCAGGTTGGCATGATGGGAGGCAAATACCACCTTACTGTAAAGGGAAGCCATGGGCATGTGACCTGATTGTCAGAAAATACTAACCATTATACACACATGTATTTTGTATTGCCATCCCTTTCTAAAACTGAAACAGTGGAACAGACTCCCACAAGTGGTGGTGGACTCTCCTTCCAAGGAAGTTTTTGAGCTGAGGTTGAATGGCCATCTGTCATGTAGTTTCCTGCAATGCAGGAGGTTGGACAAGATGACCCTTAGGGTCCCTTCCATAGAACTCTGCAATTCTATGAACTTGTTCTGTTTTTTATAGCATCACCTTCTTGTTTATGCATGCAAAAATATCTAATAATAAATATGATGTTAGAAATACTTAGAAAGCTAGATGACCAGATATTCAGCAACTTAGCAGCGAAGGCCAATACTGTCAAATGCAGAATGTCAAATATTAGGAAAATATTCAACATTAAAATTAGAGGAGGATTTTGATGGAAATTAATGGCC